TTATCAAACTGAGGCCTGGGAGTGTAAGGAAGGTTTCTGTGTCTAATGCCCTGTCCAAATAATTTGTTGTAATCTCTTATCCATGGATCCATAAAATTTAGATTCTTAATATGTGTGCCAATGTCCAAATTTCCCAGAATTTTATGTAAGAACCTTCTTTATTTGACCCCTATCAGTTCTTCTGATCTTATTTTTCAAGTCCCTTCCTCAGTCTTATATCCAAGCTATGTTTGAACCAATGTATAAAACCTCTCCCTCCTCACATATTCCTTACCCTGTGCCCCAAAACGTACCGTCATCTCAAACTTCTCAAATACAGTCAGTCATTTCTTGAGAACCTATCGTGGTCAGGCATTGTTCTGGGCACTTTACATATATATATATATATATATGTTCTTTCATTGAATCTTCATAAGGAAGGTTGATATCATTGCCCATTTTACAAATGAGGAAACTAAGGTTTAAGATTTCAAGTAACTTCCCATAGGAGCATGGCCAGTAAGTTGCCTGTCTCATTTTTGTTTTCGCCTACCATCCCACCAATGCATGACCTCCCTCTCCTCACCACTGATCCACTTCTCCACTTGATTTCTGCCCCTATTACCCCACTCACTCTGTTCCCATTAAGGTCACCAAATGACCTCCTAATTTCCAGATTCAATGGGCTTTGAGGGTCCTACTTTATTTGACTTTGCTTTATATTTTAATTTTCCTCATATTTATAATATTTATATTATATGTTATATTATTTTAATAAATAATATTATATAATATTAGTATTTTAATAGAAGGTGCCAGGCAGCTCTTCTGGAACAGAACTGGTCAGATGCTAGACAACCTCATCCACCTCTCTCAGAGTAGGGGAGAGCGCAGAGGAGGTGTGGCCCCAAGTAGGTAACAGGGGCTGAGGCTCTAGGGGCCAGCCTGTGAGAGTGGAAGGGCTCCCATATTCCAAATTGAGACAGTGGCAAGGTCAGACCCCAAACTTTTGACCTCATCCCTACACATCTTCTGATCCTACTAATACCTACTGAGGAGAGAGGTTTTCCTTCCTTCCTTACAGGGGACACACTTCCCTTCAGGGGCTCCTAGTGCTTCATTTCCAGCTCTAACAGCAAAAAGCCTTATGCTCCTTCCCCAGCTTTGATCTGGGCCTCTTGAATCTCCCAACTTGCCCTTCTTCCCCAATCAAGCAACAGCATCTGTTAACCTGGCTGTCCCACTTCGCAGAATTATTTGCTAGTGTACAGTAAAAAAATCTGGAAAGGCAGCTAGAAAATAAAAAAGGACAATGTTGTAAAAGAAAGCTGCGTTCTCCAGGAGGCCTCTCAGCATAAAAGTATGAGAACTATTGTGTTTCATATTTGATAACTCTGGGTCAGTACTTGAAACATGTCATGCCTCCAGAAAGTTCTTTCATAGGTTATTTTGTATTTCTAAATGGATATAATTGAGACCAGATTCATTTGAGTTCTGTAAAGAATACACTACTGAGCTACCTTAAATAAATATATACATACATACATAAAAAGAAAATACTATATATTTTATTTATTTGACCTTGTTTATAGACTATTCCTTTTGTTGAAAGTCCTTTTAGCTTTCGTTGCATGCAGCCCCTCTCTCCAACTTCTTTGGTCCCCTCTCAGTCTTTTTCATTGGTTTCTCTTCTTTCACAGGCCCTTTAGATTTTGCCATTTCCTGGCTTGTATCTTATGTCTCCTTGTTCTACATTCTTTCCATGAATACATATCTCCACTCTCATCACTTCCATTTATATAGCAAATATTTCCAGTCTCTCATCTTTCTCCTGTGTTCCAGATTCATACTTCCAGCTCCTTTCTAGATATCATCATGTTCTACCACCAACGCATCTCAAATTCAACATCGATGTCCCACCTCTTCCTATCCCTTCCCAAGACCTTATTCTTCCCTCAGTTAATGATACCAACATTCATCCTATTTCCTTGGCTATAAATTTCATTCATCTCTGATTTTTCACATGTATTGTCAATGAACAAATCTAATTAATTCTACCTCATGGGTCCTTTCTTTATTCCCACTGTCACTGCCTCAACTCCAGGCTTTATCATTGGTCTTTCAGACTCTATGTTTCAGACTCTGTGTTTGTATGCTTTTATTCACCTCTCTTTTAACTCTGATACTATCCCTAGGTAAGACAATTCTTAGACTTTTACATCAAAATTCAAGACATTAACATTCAAAAATATTACTCTTTTTTTCTGAACTTTATTTGAGAAGATTTTGATTCAACTGCTCACATTATGTAGCATTTTTACTTTTGACTTACATTTTAAAATTCAAAATTCTTTAGTGATTTTTTTTAACATAACGTGCTTTTACTTAAACATGCCACTTCAACAACAGTATTTGGAGCATAAATACACTCAATCCAGTATTTATATTGATTATGTTAAGATGATATAGTAACCACTGTAAGAAACAAAATGTTCAATAACGATGGATTTAACATGGACTTTAGCCTTAAACACTTTATAGTCTGCTAGGAGAGATAAGGCATGAACCTAAATAGTTATAATACATGCTGGAATAGGATAATTGTTATAAAAGATATACAGAAAAAACTATCAGAATTATACTGAGGGAGAGCTTGCTTTCACTGAAGAAACCAAAGCAAACTTCATGAAGGAGTCAATATCTGAGCAAGGACTTCGATGATGTGAACTTTTAAATATTTGTTTTTTTCACACATTTTATTGAACCTCACCTACGTGCAAGACTGCACTAAGTGCTAAGGATACAGAAATGAACAAGAGACAGACCTTGACTTCAAGTTGTTCTCAGTCTAGTGAGGAATAAAGATAAAATCAACTATCATAACCTGATGAAAAGGAGTTATATTGGAGATTTTCTAAAAAGGCTACAAAACTATACAGAAAATGACAAAGAGAGAGGAGAAAAAGTAACTTCTCTTCAAAAGGAATGTCTCTAGGAAGAGCTGCTACTTGAGCTGAGCTTAGAGTATCAAGTAGCCTGGGTCAAACTGGAGATGGATCTGGGGAAGAAGATTACACAGAGAGGAATCAAGGGCTGAGGATGGATAGGTATGAAATGTGTACTCTCGTGAAAGTTCAGGAGAGCTGAAGAAGGAGGTACAAGAAGTGGATAGAAAATGACATCTAGGCTGGGTTTTGGAAAGGTTAAAGCCAGACTAAGAACTAAAGACATTTTTTATGAATAGTTTAATAAATTATTGCTGACTAACTGATAGTGCTAATCTACAGACAATTTTCTACATAGATTTGTTTTTACCAGGTAGACCAGAAATTCACTTAATTAACTGCATTTCTGATTGAAAAATTAATGTTGTTGGAAAAAGGAACAAGGGCTTTTCCCAAACATTTCAGGATTCAGTATTCCTCCATTAGTGGCAATCATAATTTTCAGCCACTACTGATGAATTAGGTTGAGCCTTGCCTTTTCATTCAGAGCTTTGATAACAGGAACTATAAGCTATTCCTAACCAACCTATTTTGGAAAAAAATTCCAAAGTGTGTGTTTGGTCTCTAGTTTGACCTCTATATATTTGGTCATGTGAAAACAAAATAAATGACCAAGTCAGGGGAAGAAATCTATCAATTGGGGAAAGGAGTAAATCAAAAATCCAAAAATCACTTCATTAAGAATATTTTTCTTTGTTTATTTATATTTGGTATCATCCTCCTACACTGACTATGGAAACCCCTACATCTCCACTTGGTTATTCCGTCATCTGTCCTGAGACAAGAAAGAAATGTTTAAGCCTATCACCACTTATTGAGACTATGTTTAATTATATGATTAGAATATTTCCAGTAACTAGCTGAGAATAAACTGCAAGAAGAAACAAATGTTTTAGTCCAGTAGATGTGGGTGGGGGTGCCCTAGTGAGAGTCTTCTATCACCAAAAGGCATCGTGAGGATACTGGATGCTTGAAGGTGATATAAATACAGCACCAGAAAATCAGTGAAGGCTGCAGAGATAAAGATGGGGTGGCACCAAAAAAAAAACAATAATAAGATGCCTACTCGACAGTTTTACGTAGGTTCTAGTAGCACCAAAAGGCCAACTCACCGATAAAAATGTTCTCCCAATTACTTTGGGATGCTTGCAAAAGCCTGGTCTAGCAGATCCTAAACAAGACATCTTGGTACTAACTCAAGTTCATTGTCAAGGAGAGCTCCACGTCGGCTATCTACTCCCAAAGGCAGCCTCTGCATTCCTGACATTCTACCTACACCTTGTCAAAGTCATTATATAGTTTCATTACAACAAATAGCCAGCCAGTGGCAAAATCCTCCTATTGTTTTCCTTCAAAACCCCTCCCTATGGACCCCCTTTCATTCTTGACATCACAGATATGGGTCTTCTCCTACTGCACCATAGGCTCTCCACCTTAGAGGAACGATTGAATCTTGCTGCCTAGTTTTGGGATGGGATCTTCTCCACATTTCACTGAGGCCTGCGCCACCATGGTGGCTTCCAGGACCACAATAGATATTTTCCTCAAGATACACTGGAAAGAATTATTTTCCTTACACACTTATTCCTAGTGTGTCCCTTTACTAGTTTTTTAGTAGTTTACTATTCAATTGATGTCTTCCACTGGATCTTTCTCGTGTTTGAAATGTGCTATTTGATGCACCAACTCACCAAGCACTTTCTCCTAAGAGACTCCCGATGTCAACCTTCAAGAATTGATCAAAAGGAAGAGGCAATATTCCCCCAAATCCACTCTAGCTAAATATTTTACATTTTCTCTTCAGTGAATTCACAGTATAATTGTATAATCCTTTTTGTCTTATGAATTTATGATCTATATTTACACTGTGATGATTTATGATCTTGGAATTTTGGTTTTTTAATACATTTTTCTTTGAGAGTTTTGTATGCCTTGGACAGGAAGGCCTTTGCAGACAGCCCAGGACAAGAAGTATGTAAACAACTTTTTTTTCTTATGAAAAGAAGAAAAACCTACCTGCCCATGCTTTTGCTGAGGGGCCATCCCATGAGGCATTTCAGGATGCGATGGGGCCTGGAGGTCGGTCCCCCGAGTTTTGGGACGCACCACCTCAGAGAGCAGACTGGAGGAGATTGCCAGAGACTTGGGCCGAGTAGCTGTGGTGCCCATCCCCCCTGGGGGGCCTTGTTCACTTTTTCTGCTTGCAGCTTCCTCTTCCCCTTCAGAGTCCACAATAAAGACATATTCAGCTTTGAAGAGGTCACTTTGCTGCATTCCTTGTGGTTCGTTTGCTTTGAATTCCTTTCCTTGTGAAATCTTTCCACTGACCTCTGAAGGATACGTCAGTGTCCCTTGGTCTCTCTCCTGTTGGATCCCAGCATTCAAGGTCAAATACTCATTGGAATTAGACTGCAATAAATGTAGAGACATATAAGCATTGACGTTGGTTTGACAAATGTTTCTTTTTTGCATATACACTTAAAAGCTTAACCTGCTTATAATCTCCAAGGATAAGAGTTTTTAAAAATAGATTTAAAAATCAGGTTGGCTTAGGAAAGATTAAGTTGAAGTTAATGGTTTACTTTTACTAGCCCGCCTGTTTGTCCTGGTGCAAGCCCAAACAATTTAGGGCTCAGAATCAATAACACTGCTTTCAAATAAATCATGATATGATTTTTTAAAAAGAGAGGGGGACAGCAATGCATGAAACAAATGGGGATTAGTCAAGGGTTTAGTTAATGGTCAAGCAAAACCTGTATATCCTGTGTAAGCCAAAGGAGAAAGGAAATCTCATCAAAAGGTTCTAAAATAACATAAATCTCTCTAAAAGTCTGAAGGAAAAATAAAACTGGAACAAAATGCATGGATATTCAGACAAAACAATCTAAGCTAATTGGGAAGAACTCATGAATAAGACACCAAAAAAAAGTAGATATTTTTAGTACAAAGTATTTTTCACTGCTATTTTATTTTGGATTTGTAATTCTAAATCTTTTCCCATCCAATTTTCTATGAATACATAGAAGGTTTACAAGACCAGGAGTAAAATAGCTGTATCAAGCTACAAAACATCTTTTTCTAAAATGATAGCAGCAATGTACACTAAGATTATGTTTAAAAGACCCAACATTAATTTTCTTGGCTTTGATAACTATACTGTGGTTATTATTTTTCTTTCTTTGCAGCTTTTCTTCAAGTCTAAAATTACTTCAAAATAGAAAGTTAAAGAAGACACTGAATATACTAAAATAAACTACATTTTAACTATGATGGTCAATTAAATATGTGCTAATGTGTGTGTATGTATTGTGCGTGAAGATAGAAGTCAAACCATTTATTATATATAACTAAACTGTAGAGTTGATTTTATACACCCATTCCCCATTATTCAGCTGATGATGACATAGTCAAAGTAAAGCAAAAATTGCCTCTGATTAGGATTTCTCTCACAATAGTCATTTCACATATTAAATTACAACACAACACAGTAGCAAAAGTCCAAATTAGAAAAAAGTTTAAATTAAAAATAGAAGGATTCAAAGACAGATTGTTTATTATGGAAAGTAACAGAATAACTAAAAACCTAGCAAAAACTAAAAATAATTAGTTTTTGAAAACATTATTAATGATCTAAAATAACTGCCTTCCCCCACAGTCCGTCATTCTCTTTTCCTTTACTTTGATGTATTTTTTTACAGCATTTATCACTACCTGAGATTTTATTATATACTTCTAACTTTTTTCATTGTCTACCTTCCCAATGAACAAAGTTATATGAGTTGACAATTTACTCAGAATCCACAGCACCAAGCAAATAGTGTGTTCAGTAAATAGTTGTTAAATATATAAATGAATGAGGCATTATTTACCATGTTCTATTATAATATTGAACTGTTTAAAAAGTAGGAATAAAAATCTTTATTCATTTAAAGATGTAGTTGTGTATATATCATTGCAATCAGCAGATGAATATCATCATCTTAGGAAGTTTTGGAAGATTGCAACCAAGACTGATTCACATATCTCCAGTCTCACAGACTCATAGCACCTAATAACAAAGGATTCCATGAATATATTATATGTAGTTAAGTACCGTTAGGGAGGAACTTCCCAGAAGTGCCTTAGGCAGTATTCAGGAGTTCTCTGAAATAATTTGGCCCCAATAGTCTGAAATAAGATAGCAGCTTTGAAAATCCTAGGATCACAGATATATTACTACTTAGTAGATAAGATGTTTTCATTTAGACAAAGTGAATGATTATTTTATTCTCTTCCAGTTGGCTCAAGAATACCACAAAGTTCCCTCAGTTACATTTTGTTGTTAATAAGACAGTATTAAAATACATTTGAGGGGCCGGACCCGTGGCTTAGCGGTTAAGTGCGCGCGCTCCGCTACTGGCGGCCCGGGTTCAGATCCCGGGCGCGCACCGATGCACCGCTTCTCTGGCCATGCTGAGGCCACATCCCACATACAGCAACTAGAAGGATGTGCAGCTATGACATACAACTATCTACTGGGGCTTTGGGGGAAAAATAAATAAATAAAAATTTAAAAAAAAAATACATTTGAATGAGAAAAATTTTTTACCCAAAATGTCATTATTCTAACACAAGTAATTTTTAGGTTTTTTGTTTGTTTTAATTTCATTTCCAGTCTTGGTCTCATTTTAGATAGCTATAATCAGAGTATAAACACAATTTTATAACCTATTTTATCACTTATTATAAGGTTAACATTTTCCATGGAATTACATAATTATTATAATTATAACTTTGTCAAGGTGATATATTATCATATTCTTAACTTTTCTCTGATTGTTAGATATTAGACTGTTTTTATTTTTCCCTAATTATTTTCCTACATAACATTTTTCTTCTTTTGTACTATTTCCTTGAGATACATTTCCAAGAGTTGGCTTGTTGAAGGGTTATGAACAATTTTATGACTGTGGATAAGGATTTTCCACCAAAACTGTACAAATTCACAAAACTAGCAGCAAAGTGTGAGTATGCCAATATCTTCACAACTGCCGCAACATTGGGTATTACATTTTTTTTAATGTTGCTAATTTATTACGTTTAAAACAATAACACCTCACTATTTTATCTTGGATTTTCTTTCAAGATAAATTACAACTTTTCTTAATTTTGTTTTTATTATTTTAGGATACATTTGGGAGAAGAGGTGGTGCCAGGAGGCAGCATGTATCGTGTGAATACCAAACAATAGGAGGTCAACTCAACAGGGTTGAGAATAATGTATTAGAGAGAACCTGGGATTTGATGACATTTAAGTTCCTATTACATAATTATATTTTTAGTCAACCTTAGATGTCACAGTCACCTGACTTTAAGCAGAAGACATAAACATTCATACAAATTTCCAAATCATGATTATGGATAATGTAAAGTTAATTGCTTAATATAAAAAAAAGAATAAAAATAATCCTACCCTATTTACAGTTTCTGGATTCTTATCACTTGGTTCCTCAGGAATTTTAACAAGGAATTTAGAGGTGTCAGCCAACTGAGAGTGGGTTGGTAGTCTTCTGACAGTGGGGACAAATGTGAAGATCAGAGGTTTGGCTTCAGAATCACCAGAAGAGACCTATGAGACACGTAATAAATTAGACTTTCAGCCTGTCAAAGGTTTATCTTGACTTTATTTTCTCTATACCATGATATTTATCCCATTTATTTTGATGAATTGCCTGTTGTCCTGTAATCATGTGTATGGTTGCCAAAGAAAATAGCTATAAAAATAGTCATAGAGTATTAGATCCTTTTTTTATGATACCATTTATCAGAGAAAGCAATACAACCCCGGGAAGATCCTGTTGCAGGGGATGGCAATAAAACAGCAGGTTGGCTAGTTGATCCACTGAACTATTACAGGGCATCTCTACTTCAGTGGGGTCATCACAAACACAGCATCTGGTCTGTTTCGAAATCGACTTGCATCCATTTAACCCTGGGTTAGCAGGTTTGATCTGACTCATAATGCAAGAAACTTCCAACATTAATCATTAATGAGAATGCTAAAATATGGATTTAAAATTGAAAGTATGCTTTCCTGGCTATCAGAATACCAATGCCTGCTCTTGAGGATATACTTTCTCTTTCATTCATTCTTCATTCATTCAAGTATTTGCTGTGCGGCAGGCACTCAGGAGCTGGGGATACAAGAGTGAACAGGAAACAGTCAAGAGACCACTCACAAGCAGAAAAGGTATGCACAGAAGACTAAGGGAAAAGTGATGAGGGGAGCTGCCTACCCAACCTGGGAAGCTCCTTAAAAGGCAACACCTGGAATTTAAGTCCCAGAGAAGAGGAAGGTAACGATATCCCAGGCTGAGAAAACCAGCTAAGTGAGAGCGTGGAAAGCAGCAGCAGTGGGTATGGATGACCTTGGATTTTATCCTGTTGACCATAGAGAAGCATTTAAGCACTGTGGATTGGGAAATGACAGTCACATTAGAATTTTAGATAGGTAATTCTGGCTTTAAAAAACACAAGCCTAGAGACAAGGACAGAAAGCCAAGGGCAATAGACTGAGGACAAAATGGAAAGAGAGAAAGAGAAGATGGTGCTGTAGATTTCTCTTTCAAGAAGCTGGGAGGATAAGTGAGGAGAGAGGGAAGTAGAATCAAAGGGGTGTCTTTGTTGGTCTCTGACGGGATAGACTTGAACATGTGTGTAGTCTGGGGGACCGGTAGAGAAGGAATGCGAGCAAGGTCCTGGAGGAAGCAGGCAGAGTATGTTGAGGGGACAAGAGAAGGAACATGGCCTCCTTTGAGTCCAGAGGAAATGAACTAAGATAAAGAATAGTGCGTGCACGTGGTAGAGTGGGGGAAGCAGGAAGGTGAGGGGAATCACTTTGATATAATCAATGTTCATGATAAAATCAACCCTATCTAGTCACAGTAGCAGTGCCCCTCTGTCACCTCCACATCTCTGTTATAAGAAATATGATAAGACCCCCACTCTCTTCTCCCTTCAAACTGATATGCCTTGGCAAGACACCCTTCTTCTCTCTCTTTAAGCTGATGTGCCCTGCCAAGACCTCTGCTCTCCTCTCTCATCAAGCTGTGCCACCTTTTATGCCTTGGACCCCTCGGGCCTTATCTCAGCATGCCCTTTAGTCCCAATTGTGTCAGTGCTGTGAGAAGTCCAGGTCTCTGAGTCATCCCTCAAGGCCTGTATGCTATGCACACCCCTAGTTTTCTTCTCATCTTGTACCTGCTCCAACTCTTGAAAACTTTTCACTGTACACTTTCTGGAATTCAGTCAGCCATCACAAAATCCTCCATATCCTTAACTTCTTCTCCAAATATTCTAGCTGTAAGTAAACTGTGGTTCCCTCTGAAGGACTCCGCTTTCCAAGCAGCTCTCTCAGTGGTGGCTGTTTTCTCTCACATTGGGCCTGAAAGTAGGATAGGTGTCCTCTTCATTCCTCTTTACTGCTTCTAGACCATTCTTCTTTCCTTTTACCTAGAAACTTCCAGCTTTGAATGTTATGTCATTAGTCTATACCACTTACTACCTCTCCTGCCACAGTGATCTGCCCACAGCCAAATCAAACCCTTCTTTCTTTGCAAATTTGGTTCCTGGCTCAATTCTACTCTCTCTAACACTATGCTCTTGATAATACCCAATATTATATCCCATTGGTAATTTTTCTAATGTTGTGTTGCCTTGACCTCTCCTCTTCCTTGCCTCTCACATCCTTAGCCTAGACCAATAGCCACAACCCCTCCAGAGTTTCCATTTTTTCATTCTCTGACCACCACTTCTTTTCTTTCCAGACTACTTTCTCTAGTACTCCAACTCCAACATTTCTCAGACCCCACCAGAACGAAAATCTATTGATCTTCCAACACTATGTTTTCCCATACTTCTTTTTGAGTTGACCACAATTACTCCCACTCATACCCCTCAAGTGCCTTGCCCTCTCTCACATCGTTATCCCCATTTGAATAAATCACAGTCCTCACTAAATCTAATAATTTAATAATCTATAGTTCCATAGCCCTTTCACTCTCTCAGTCGCCTAGAAAACTAATATCTTTTCCTCTCTTTCCAATCCCCAACAAATTCTTCCCCAGTCTCACTCTGAGCTGATGACTTTGTTTCCCATTTCACTGAGATAATTGAAGCAATCAGAAGAGAACTTCCAAGGCCGGCATCACATCTACCCTGCTACCTATGTATTTGTCCTTTTAGGTGGCCTTCAGTCCTGCCACTATGCTCCTACTAAAATCAACCTTCCCTTGAATATTTTGCCTTCTACTTACTTTCATTTATTCAACAAGGTCTTATTAAATGTTTACTAAATGCTAGGCCCTTTTCTAGGGGTTGGTGATATAACAGTAAACAAAAATCTCTCTACCCTAATGGAGTCTACATTCTAGTGGAGGGAGACAGTAAACAAAATAAGTATGTAAAATATATAGTATTTCCAGTAGTGATAAGTGCTATGAAGACTGGCTATAAGGCTATTGCAATAATGTGTGGGAGAGAAAATGGTAGGTCAAACTTGGGTTGCTGCAGTAATAATGATAAGAAGTATTAAGATTCTGGGTATAATTTAAAGGAAAAATCTATAATTTGCTGAAAAATTAGATGTGGGATATAAGAGAGAGACATGAGTCAAGATGAGTACAAAATTTTTGACCTGAATAACTGCAAGAAATGAGATATTATTCATTGAAATGGCGAAAACAACAGATGAAGCTGGTTTGAAAATAAAGATCAAATTTGATATGCCAAATACACACCCAAGTGGAAAGGTGGGTACGGGAGTCAAGTTTAGAGGCAAGTCTGCACTGGAGATAAAATTAGTAGGATTGTTAACCTATACATGGTAACATGGTATTCAAAACCAGCAGACTAGATGAGATCACCAAGGGAGTAAGCACAAAAAAATGGTCCAACGTTGAACCCTCCAGACTCTAACATTAAGTGACCCAGAAGCTGAGGAAGAACTGGTAAAGGTGAGATGGAATTTTAAGAAAAGTAGAAAAGTCTGGAACATCGAGAGCAATAGGAAAGAGGCCTGACCATAAGCAAATAAAAGGATTGACAGACTATATTGAGGGTCCAGTCCACAGGTGAATCCGTGAATTTGTAGTGAAGCAATTTGCTTGGCTATTTGATATAATCTACAGGGATGCTCAACTGCCTATTACAGGAACAGAGAAAGTAAATTGTGAGCATTTCTAGAATTGATGTTCGGAAGTGGTTTTGGCAAAAGGATGTTGTGAGTGTAAGGAAATTGAGGGTAGTGATGAGAATAGAGCAAATGATCAACCATGGCGTTCAGTTGGTACAGGAGAAGAAGAGGGGCCTCAGTTTCAAGGTCTCTGTGGCTCAGAAAACGGATTTGACAGCACGGTGAGTGTTTGGGAGAAAGGCTTGGTGTCATCATGTGTGGTATATGAGAGTTTAAGATTTAGAAGTGCGGTAATTCTAGATAATTATAAAGTCTAGGCTTTGGCCTTGAGACTGAGTATCTGAGATTAAAAAAACAGGAAGGGCACTGAGATTGTGAAAGTCAAGGAACTATGAGACAAGAATGTCTACAAGGCTGTCCTTATGAAAAACAAAGCCACACTGACGGCAAGACTGGACTGGAGAAGAGACTGATAGCATGGTGGCACGATGTGAGCCTGGGGTCAGAGGGAACTGGGAACAGCCTACCTGGGACACTAGATTATTAAGCAGATATTTTCTTTGTGAGCATGAAATCAAAGGGAACTGGATATTCTTGGAGGAGCTTTCACCCAAGTCACAGGCCTAATGAACTAACTCTGGACTGCTTATTATAGGGTATGGCTTTCTGGTAACTAAAAAGCTAAAACATCTATGCCATCTAGAAACAATGCATATTCCTTAAGGGATATAAAATACACAGACAAACTGTTCTGAGCAAACTTTCTATTTTTTTTCCTTTTTTTTTTTTGCTGGGAAAGATTTGCCCTGCACTAACATCTGTTGCCAATCATTCTCTTTATTTTTTTTTTTATCTCCCCAAAGTCCCAGTACCTGGTTGTACATTCTAGTTGTAAGTCCTTCTAGTTCTATGTGAGCTACCACCACAGTATGGCTACTGACAGCCGAGTGGTGTGGTTCCACACCCAGGAACCAAATCCAGGCCACCGCAGCGGAGCACGCAGAACTTAAACTGCTAGGCTGTAAGGGCTGGTTCAACTTTCATTTTTCAATATTCTTTTCTGCCTTTAAAGATATTTGTCATTGTTCCCTCATTGCAGTCATGTCACAATTCCCAGGTTGCAGATTATCATCAGAAAATAATAAATCAACGCTATTCTTTGTAGGAAGGAACATTAGATCCCTTGTCAGATTTGGGAAGCCCACTAGTCTTATCAGCAATACACAAGATAACAGTTTCTAGATAGATTATTTTCTAGGACGGATGCTATGCATGACTAATCTCATCAATATCATGATGGATGGAGAGTGGTTTAGCAACAAAATCATTGAGGGTAGTTCAGATAATTCATTGTAAAATTTCATTTGAATAGGAAATAAAGATAGTCCTTTAGGAGTCCAAGAAGAGGTGAAATTGTGACCTTGCCCCCACGTTCT